AGAAACAAGCCTTCATCTGGAGAGGGTGAAGAGGAGCATGATGGGAGAGTGTGTGTGTGTGTGTGTGTGTGTGTGTGTGTGTGTGTGTGTGTGTGTGTGTCACATCAGAAAGATGAGTCACAGTTTTATCTGATTCCTCTGAACTTATGAACTTTTGGTCTAATTGAGGTTTTGGCATCAAACAAACAGAAAACACACAGGCCCCTCCTCTTTGACCATATTTGGTTTAGCTGGGAGTTAGGGGCGGAGTCAGATACTGCTACTTATTTTACGAGGTGACGTCATCAGATTGATTTGTTCGACTAACAGTCAAAAGCCAAAAAAATAAATTATAATCATCATAAAATAATAAAAAAGAAGAAAATCCTCACACCAGAATTAGAGGCCAATTAATTTGCCGTTAATCAACTAATCAATAACTCTAGTAATTGGATTTTTATCTGGGTTAGCTGCTGGTGGCCAGAAAAGAAGAACTCAACCTGTGTAGGATTCACCCCTCCCCTCCCCCCTCCTTCTCTAGGCGTGTGAAGAAGCTACGGTGGCCTTCAGGTGACATTAAAGCTCATATGTCCCTCTGTACAGCCAGTGTTTGGTTTGTCCGCTCTGGGCTTCTGTAGAAACAACAACATGGCGGACTGCGTGGAATATGAAGGGCCCGTTCTACGATAACGAAGACAGAAAGATAACGAATATATAATTATGGATATCAGATTCCAATCCTGCGCACCGGCCCTTTAAATGATGAAGGAGAAGCATCAACGTTACGTAGAAAAACTAGAATTTAAAGTCATAAAAAGAGTTAAAGGTGTGAACATCTAAATGACATGAACAGTATTTTCAGGTGTTTCAGCCTCAGGTGAGTTCAGGAGAATGAACAGTGACACTGAAGTGAACAGATGTGAGACATTAAAGCTGAGCAGGCGAGTCTGAACCTGTCCGACTGACTGTGACCCCCACACACACACACACACACACACACACACACACACACACACACACACACACACACACACCATGAGCCACATGACAGTCTGAACATTCACCCACAGACACAGAATGCAACAGAGCCAGGGGAGTGTTCAGGTACAGTATGTGTTATAGATTATATATTTAACTAGAGTCACCTTGTATCCCTCCGCCACTCAGACTAGTTCCAGGTCACTTCCTGTTTATCCTTTACTTCATCCTTGAGTCCAGGTGGACGTTTGTGCCAAATCTGAATTAGTTCTGTCAAGTCGTCACTGCGATATCGTGTCCACAAGAAGACGGACGACCTGAAAACAAAATGGCTGCCGCTCTGACCGTCGCTGGGCGGAGGAAGAAAAACACGTGTCCAGGAACCTTTGAATCAGAGTCGATCATTTTACATCAGACAAACTTCTCTTTGTCAGCAGTTTGTCCTTTTGTATCAAGCAGCAAAGAAGTCGCAGCGTGACGCGTTTGAGTTCATTCACTTTGCACACGTTCACATCACCACCACGACGGTGAAATCTTAAACTGTGCAGCCGTAAATCACATGGTTCCCAGTGTCTGTGACACATGTTGCACATTTTATTTTGTGCAGTTTTGCACATGAAGCAGTGACGTAGCACACACTCCGAGGTCTGTGGGGCAACGTTCTCCTCTACTGCCTCAGCCTCGTTGACTTGCCCTGAACAGGACGTTGACTTTCTTCAGTTCGCTGACAACTCTGAATATCTAACATCAGCAGACGCAGGTCGTCTCCTCATGTGAACGTGTGATGCTCGTTACCGTGGGGACGCTTGATAAACACACACTGAGGATCACTGACGGAGCTGCAGCTGCAAAGTCGATTCAATGTTTTCAGAAAGTGATGAAAGAGAAAGAAACAGGAAGGAAATGGTGAAATTACAGATGTAACTGAGGTGAAACTGACCTGTCTGAGTGAGTGTGTGTGTGTGTGTGTGTGTGTGTGTGTGTGTGTTCACCGTCTTTTTGAGGCTATAAACAGAGTAAGTGTTTCCTTCAGTGTTGAGCTGCATTCATAAACTAAACTCCAGGCAGAGAAGGAGTTTCTCTGGAATATCAGACTGTACTTGAACGCACCATAACACCTGAAATGAGTTTCCGTGCAGGTGTTAAAAGCTCCATGTGATCCGATCGACAAATGATAATCAACAGAGTGGATGAAACACTGTCCCCATGATTCACAATGTACAGCAGCAAAACTTTGAGGCCATAAAGGGATCGGAGCAGAATCACTGGACTCCTCCCCCCTGGTGTGTACTGTGTTTAAAACCAAGTGCTCCCTTTAAAAGCTGCTGAGCCTCCAAACCTCTTGCATTTGCATTTTTCAGCTGAATTTGATGCAAACCAGAAATCAGCTGCAACAAAACCTGAACACCACCCAACTCACCAGGCAGGAAATGTGGCACAAACCAAGCGCCCCTGTTTCTTCAGCCTCCACCTGCCGGTCCCAGACACAGAGCACAGCAGTCTGAAACCCCAGACATCATCTGTTCCACAACAGCTGCACCCGGCTCCCTGCTGTGTGATTAATCATAAACCAAGCGCTCCCTTCTTAGCTGAGGAACATGTTTCTGAAACAGAATATTATTCAGAATGATGAGCAGCTGCAAGAGTCTTAAACCTCTTCAACCGTCCCGCAATCTCCACCTCCCTCCCAGGCTGTAAGGTGTCACAGACCAAGCGCTCCCATGGAGCTGAGGCTGCAGCTGACAGCTGAGCCGGCACCACTCCTATGTGTAAACACCAACATGTTGTTCTTGCATCACAGCTTCATGCAAAAGACACAAACACAACAAACAAAAACCTCCCTCACAGGCCTGTAATACACCTTAAATCAAGCGCTCCCTCACTCCTGGGGCAGTAAAACCTGCCGACTGTCTATGTGTAAACTTTCACACATCAATTCTCACACTGCAACAACACACACAAGCAAGTACACAACACACTGTAACACTGTCTCCTCCCCCCCAGGTCTGTTAGGGATCATAAATGAAGCGCTTCATTTCACTCTCAAAATCCAAAAACTACTTCTCTCCTCCATTCATGTTCCCACCCCACTCCCAGCTATGTACCACTTCACAAACCAAGCGCTCCCTTTTCATCTCTGTATCAGCTCAGGATGGTGCACTCTAATCTCCACACTCCCATCTCCTCCATCCGCACCACCCCCCTGCTTTGGTATCACAAACCAAGCGCTCCTTTAACCTGTTGAGCTGCTCTGCTTGACTCCGAGTCCAAACTTTCACCGACATCCTCACATCATCTGCTCCTTCAACAGACAGCAACAGACGCTAATTTAGAGACATCTTCTCTCTTCCTGGCATCACAAACCAAGCGCTCCTTTAATTACCCATCTACTGGAGCCTCCACTCCACAAGCGTCATGTTTAATGTCCACAATACAAAGTGTAGCTACAACAGATTCAACCAACACTTCTTCTTCTTGATCCTCCATCTACATCATGTCTCCCTTAGTTGGCATGTGGGGCATCACAAACCAAGCGCTCCCTTGATTCACTCAACACTGGAGCTTCTCTTCACATATGAAGCAAAGCGTCAAATTTTACATCTAAAGCACAAGATTTAAAATTAAACCAACCCCTCCTACATCCAGACCCTCTCCCCTTTGTGATGCATGACAAATCAAGCGCTCCCTTCATTACCCCAGAGCCAGAGCTTCCCCTGGCATGCACAAGCTTCTCTCTGCAACAGAATCACCCAAACTGCTCCAGCCCCCCCCCCCT